TATGGTAGGAGTGAATTAGTTGCACTGTCAACTAACTGTGACCATAAGTGAGGTAATATTTTTCCCTCCTTTTTATTTCAAGAAAGAGAAAAAAAATTACAACTCAGCCTTTTTTAGTGAGAATTCGTATTTGTGAACAAAACAAGATTCTGCTGAGTATATAGCCAGTCTAATCTCTTTTACCCTCCAAACAGATTCATTGCTATAAGCATGAAGCCTGGTTAAAAAATGATAATCATTCCCATTTGCTATATTATTAGAGTATGTAATACATTTGGGAGAATTTGTAACACTTGAAACAAAAGCAAAACAAACAAAAAATATTCTGCTTATTGGAAAATTAAATTTGTCAGAACAAAATACCCTATTCTTTGGCTATAATCCTGGTTTTAAAAATGTGTCATTTTTTCAACACTTTTTTTCTGTGAATGTTGTGAGTCACTATAATAACTAATTCTGTTTGGGGGTTAGCAAAACAGGAAAACAATTGTAGCAAGTTTCCATTATTACTGTTTCTGGCCTTTTCAAATGTGAGAAAGAGATATAAAGGTTTGCAAACAAAATAAAAACAAAACAAAACCAACACTCATATTTTGAGCTCAATATCCAGCTAAAGTTTTGCTCTCTGCATTATTCAAATGGCTCACTATATTACGACTCCATGGCCTCCAGTTTGGTACTATATGGCTGCTGCATTTATAATCATATCTTGGAAGGAGTGGTTCGTTTGGAAGTATTAGAAGTGAGATATAGAATCTGGCCCCTTAGGTCATTTATTTGTATCCAGCTGAAGTCAGCAGTGGCTAAAATTCATTACCATCTGGCAGGTTTTCCATGGCCTCCGTGACAGAACTTGTGGTCCTAGTCTAGTACATACTAGACAGATGTCCAGGTCATAAAAATCACGACGATACTTGGCATAGCGTCACCCCCTTGTTGACAGTACCATCAGACAGGCCAGAGATCGAAGTGGAATAAAGAATGAGCTGTCTTCATCCCATCCAGTGGTCCATTGGCAAACAGCTACTCGGTCCTTATGTACGGTCATGGGGGGAAACACTCCTCTTGGCTGTACTTGGAGGATGTGGAAATAGTGCTAATAAAAGGAGCTTCTCACAGCACAGCCTCCTCAGGCGTGCCCTTCCTTCTTTCTCCTTCCTTTTCTTTCTCTTCTTTTCTTGGCTCCTCTACTCACACCCTGTCTTCTCCTTCTCTCCCTGCCTTGCTCCTTGTCATCTATCTTTGAACTCCAGGGCTTCATACTGAGCTACATATCCACTTATGTATGTATGTATGTATTTAGAGACAGGGTTTTTCTAAGTCATTAAATTACACAGGCTGGGCTCAAACTTGCAATATTTGTGCCTCAGCCTCCCAGAGTGGGGGAATTACAGGGTCAGGACTCCACGCTCCATGCAAAGTTCACAAGTGATCTGTGTATGTTTTTCTGATCTTCTCTCCTTTCTCTCCCAGGCACCCAAACTTTTTCCATGACATACCAGTGTTCTTTCACAGGCTTAAAAATAATCTTGAAGCCTCAGCCCATCTCTAAGTGATTCTTTTATCCTCTTGCTATCTAAATTGAGATCTTTAGATCCTAACGGTGATGTTCCATCTAGTTTTCTCTAAAGGTAGTTTTTCTTTCCTGCAACTATTTTTTAGTTCATTACTCATCATAACTTTGAGGTTTCCTACGGCCACGAAGGAATTATTTAAGTTTTCTCGTCCCCATTATTGATTTATTTCATATTTGGGGTCCTGCTCACCAATAATTTCAGCCACCCACTTCCAAGCTTTTACCTTTGTCCCTGCCTTCACCAGTAATTATAGGATTTCCAGATTTTCACTTTAAACTATTGCACTCTCTGACTTTTGTCACCTACAATTCATTTTACATTCCCTTTTTTTTCTTAAATTTTTTTAAACCAAACCCATACTTTTACATTAGTGGCGCTATTACCTTATCAAATCGCTTCAAGCTACATTCAGATTATGCATTATTATTTTATTCCTTGAGTAAACTACTGCTTTACTGTATTTCCTGTTCTCTTACATCCTTGGTTAAAACCTTAACTTTGTGAAGTTACAACCCTGCCCCTGCTATGTGCTTATATTTAAGGGGTGAACATGGAAACAACAGTTTAATAACTATAACATCTGGTCTCATATGGAATTTAGGACCATCAACTGAAAAGAGGTCCAGGGCAGGACCCGATGGGCTTGTCTGTCTTTCCTAGTCATTTTCCTACTCATTCCACTGTCTGAGGGACTGCTTCACATCTGCATCCTGCATCAGCAGTCTCTCTTTCCCCTCGCATCCATCCCAGGAACTGATTGCATTGATAAGAACAGGGGAAAAGCCAGACGGGCAGTTCTACAACCTCCCTCTACCTTATTTATCTAATTACCTGCCTCTCTTCTACAATGTCAATGCCTCTATCCACACTAACTCCTTCCATTAATTTTTGTACACCACAATATTGCCTGTCTTAAAAAAATAACTAGACTTGATCACACATTTCTCCAACGTCTGTAACATTTCTTTTGGCCTGTTTATGACAAAGCTCCTTCATGGGACATATATTTTGTCTCAGTTTCTTCAGCTCTCTTCTCTCATGGACCTTATCTGACTACTTTCTCAGTGAATCCTGGCAAGGGCAACCTGCCAGCGGTCAATTTTCAATCTAATTTTTATTGAACTTTTCAGCATCATTTCATAGACTGGATTATGTCTTCATTCTCAAAACTCACTCCTCACTTGGATACTAATTTTCTTTCTCACCATCATCTCACTTGGCTGGCTACTTCCTCTAGATTTCCAATGTTGGAATATTATTCATCAATGACAAAGAACAATGCTGTGGCATTATTGAACACTGAAAACACACTGAATGAAAGAGCTCATGCATCACTTTCTGCATGTTTGGATTGTTTCCAACTTTAGGCAGTATGAATGAGGCTGCTCTGAACATTCACATGGAAGGCTTTGTGTGTACAGCTGTTCCCTTCCTTTGAGTACACACTTAGGAGTTTACATGCTAGAACACACGGTATCTCTGTGTTTAACATTTTGATGAACTGCTGCTTTGTTTTCTAGTGTTTATACTCACGTCACCCGTGCACAAGAGTTTGAGTTCTCCACGTCCTCAACATCTGTGATCATCTTTCTTTTTCAATAGAGTCATGTTACTGAGTATGAAGTAGAATCTCGTTATAGTTTTGACTTGCATTTATTTGTGGCTAATGATGCTATAGCATTTCATGTATTTGTTGGCTGTTTCTATACTTTGAAGAAAGATCTGTTCAGATTATCTGATTCTTTAAAGACATTGGGATGGGGCTGGCACTATAGCTCAGTGGCATAAGTGCCAGCCTGGCAAGTTCAAGGTTGTAAGTTCGATCCCCAATACCTGAATAAAACAAAACATTGGATTATTTATCATTTTATTATTGAGTTGTGCTAATCCCTTTTGTATTCTAGATGTAAGGCCCTTACAATATATGATCAGCAAATATTTTCTTATCTTCTGTGAACTGTCACTTTACTTGTAACAGTCCCTTTGGTGAAAAGTTTAAAATATTTAAATATTCAGTTTAATCATGATTTTTCCTATTAACTTTGGTTTTGTTATTATAATGCATATCTCCTCATGAAGATTTACATCAATAATCTCTGCAAATAATTTTATAATCCATCTTTTAGCATTAAGATTTTAGTCTACTTTAAGTTAATTTTTGTATATGGAAGGAAGTCTGAGGTCCATCAATTTTTATTTTCAAGTGAATGTCCAATTGTCTGACACTCTTTGGTGAGAAAGCTATCTTTTCCATTTAATTGTCTTGGTATTTTTATAAAAAGCAGGTGATAATATGGGTGAAAGTTTATAGAGAGATTTTCAGCTTTATTCCTTTGACTTATATGTTTATTTCCATGTCAGCCTTCATTCTTGTAGCTTTGTAGCAAAGTTTAAAACTGAGAATTATCATTACTGTTATTATTATTATTTCCTGTATTTAGTACAGGATCTACAGGGTCTCACTACGTAGATCCAATTCATAGTGATTCTTCTGTTTTCAGCCTCCCAAGTGCTGGGATTACAGGCGCGCCACCACGCCCAGTCTCCATTGCCCTCTCAGTGTGTCCCGGAGGAGGTGCCGCCACAGCACACTAGGGGTCGAAACCCAGCCGCCGCACTCTGCCTAAGCAGGTGCTTTAGTCCGCTGAGCTATCAGGCCAGCTCCTAAAACTGAAAATTTTAAGTCTTTCACTTTTTTATAGACTTCAAGATTTTTGTCTATTTTGGCTCCCTTAAAGATCCACGTGAATATTAGCAGCAACTATTGTGTCTGTTTTTTTTGTTTTTTTTTTTTTTTTTTTGAGGGGAGGGGCCAAAGAAATGCAACTGAAAATCTAGAACAATAGCTGTGTGCAAGAAGAAAGAAAAAGTAGTAGAATCTGTTTAGCTAACTCTTATTCCTCACATTCCCTGGGGAGCAAGGAAGACACTGTCCTTCACACATACAAATAAAAGTAGAGTGAACTTTTTGTTATCTTGCTACAGTTGATGACTTTTTAATAAAATGGAGCATTCTAGTTGAAGTATAGATGGTTCAATTTGTTTAAGGCTCAAGATTATTAATTTTGTTACAGGGATAATTTGTATAAATGATGCAAAACCAAAAATTGTACAAGAAATAAAGCATTTAAAATGAGGAAAGTCATGGCAAGAAGAGATAGCCTGTGGATTTTAGTGAGATTTTTAGGGCAAATAATGCAGAACACTAGTTTGCTATCAGATTTTTAAAGTGTATTGCATTGCACTTAGTCATGGTAAGATTATTCAGAAGACAGACAACTAGACTTGCCAAGGTTTTTTATAAAGTTAATTATATA